TTATTTTATGACCACCCAAGTTTAAAAAGGATCAAAATTTAGATTTTGTCACACCTGCTTTATCCAGCCTTTTCTTTTTTGGAAATATTTTAAAGCGAATCTCAGACATGTTCGTTCAATGTCGCATGCTTCAGTGTCCACCTCGAAAAAACAGACTTTTGGTTTCATAACCCTGAGGCCATTATTCCATCTAACAAAACCACCAACAAGCCCTTAGTATCATCTGAGATTCAGACCATGCTCAAATCCTTCAAACTGCTTTAAAAACATTCTTTTGAAGAAACTGAGTTAGCTGTCCTGTGGAAATGTCCGATATTCCTTTGCTTTTTTTACTTTTCAACTTCTTCTTTAACCTCAAATTTTTAAATTATTAATAAACCTCCATTCATTTCATTGCCACTGCAACACACATATTTGGAACTGCTTTTCTGAAATTGAGTTTGGTATATTGTTTGGAATGTTCTTAGGTTAAGTTAGACATGTTTCTCCTTAAAGCAGCAGTTCTAACATCAGTCTTGGGGCCTTACTACACTCTTGAAAATTACCAAGGACCTTAAGGAACTTTAGTTTCTGTGGGATATAGCAACCAGTCTTTACCGTATTAGAAATAAAACAGGAATGTTTAAAACAAAAACACAAGCCAATAGGTGTTCGGGTGATGACGTCTTCTCACATTGTTTAGCCTCCAGAAAACTCCATCATGAGGTTGTAAGTGAATGTGAGTGAAAAAAAAAAAGCAACGTCTCAGTGTTGCCATAAAAACAGCTTTGACCTTGGGAACCCCCTGCCAGTCTCTGCGACCCCCTTTCCCTGGATCATAATTGGAGAGCAGCTGCCTTAAAGGAACAGGTTTGCTGTTTGACAACAAATGTACAGTTTTTATGTGCCAAAAATGAAGTAGAAAATAAAAGCTGATTTTTCTTATAAGTCTTCTAAAATGGCATTTAAAAAAGGCATTTAACAAAGAATTCCAGTAATATTCTGTGCTGTGACGAAAATGTTAAAATATGGGTACAGATTCCTAAAGTGATTACTGTAACATCTTCAGAAATTTCTGAAGGACAAGTACAATTATTATTTTAGTCTCTGTATACTTGGGGAAAATGTCTCTTAGGAAAACATTTTGGCATTTCCATGGGACGCTGCACATTTGCATGCACTAAACCAGGGTTTCTCAACCTTGGCACTAGAATGTGTCTGAATGGTTTAAAAAAGACGTGTCATTCAAAAGCGAGGCATGAATATGTCAAAGAAATGGAAGGTTAGTTAAAATGTATATTTAGAAAGACTGACAAATGAGTTTTATCTGTTGCAAATCACATAACCTATAAAGATTAATTGTATCTAATATCAAGTTATCTTTCAAATATGGCTGAAGAGTCATCTTTTTCTTCTTTTCTTACATTGTTATACCTAATGAATCAGTCAAAATTGTAGATTAGTATTTTAAATGCCAAAAGAAGCCAGCTGCTTGTCCTAGTCTCTGATTCAGTTGAGCTCTTACAATATTTTGACTGTCTGAAGAATATTAATAATGGGATGTTAGGCAGTAGATTAACTGAAATTAAATATCAACATATCTAGATTTATTTTTGGATGACTGAGCTCATCTCTTCAAGGAGCGGAAACAGGATTCATTACATCACCAGTTATTACCTTGTACAAGACCGAATCCACCGCCCACCCGCCCGCCCCGCAGCAGAGCAGAGCGCCAGCCACAACGCGTCGGAAGGTTAGAGGCTGAAAGCTGAGATTCACGTTGGCTGGGGCGCGGAGCGCATGGGCTGCCGTCCACTGCCGAGTACGCATGAGGACACAGAGGGAGTCAAGGCGATGTCCTGATAATTCTGGAATCAAACTGGTATTAATGCCTTATTCCTTCTTGCCCAAGAAGCAGGTCCCCACTGCAGGCAATATGGACAAACTGACACATGTGAAGAGAAAGACACTCTTATCTGCCTTCATTCAGCAAACATTTCCTGAGCACCTGCTTGTGCTCCCTGCCTCCTCTCGCCCTGCCTCCTACGTGTGCACTGCCTGCACGTTCACGCGCATGGAGAGGACACACACGCACTTCCACGTCAGATACAATATCCAGGCCAGCAGGCGACCGCTCCTCATTTTCCAATGGATTCTGCAGCCCAGACGCCCCCAGGTCAACAAGGAGAGGCCGGTCTAGCTTTAGCTGAGCCAGACGGACCCAACGGCTTGAAAGAGTCCCCCTTTCGTTCCCTCTGCCCTTCTAGGCCGTGAGGGGACCACTGGGGATGTACAGGGGGGCTCCCCCCAACAGGTCCTGGTGCATCCGAGGCCCCCTGCTTCCCAGTGAAGGAGGGAACCAAATCAGGATCACCAAAACCTGCCTTCTGGTCATGGGCTCCGGAGGTCAGCAACTTTATCTGTTCTCCCATGTATGTGCACGAAAAGTCTGAGGACCCCTCCACACTAGCGTGCTGAAACCAGAAGACATGCACGTCAGCAACAGAATCAGCAGAACATGCTGCTCGTGGAGGCCAGGCCACTGCACGCAGCCATCTCTGGACCCGTGTCCACCCGCGTGGGACCCACGCCGTCACAGGTCACAGCTCGAGGGGCACCGGGGAGAGGCCGTCCGCCCCTCGGCTCCCAACACTGCCGCCCCCCACGCCGCCCTCCCGGGCAGGCCTGCCCTGGTTCCGGGCTTGGGCTGATGCCTGAACATGCATTCCGGTGCAGGTACCACAGTGCACAGCCACCAGGAGTAAAAAAGCAACACCGGAAAGCACCCAACAGGCAGGGACGGGAAAGAATGACATGGGCGTGGCCACAGGGCGGACAGCACAGAACAAGGAAGGCGGTCCCAGCACGAGACCAAGCCACAAGCCCAGGTCCAGCTCAGAAACGACACACACAGCAGGAGGCTGCTTTAGAAAGTTCAAAAGCAAACAAGGCCCAACGACATTCTTTAGGGGTACATGCCCTTGCATTTATAAAAGGAACAGAAGAGGCTGGCTGCCGGGCTGGTGGTGGCTCTGGGCGCAGAGGCCAGGCCTGGGGAGAGAACACTGGCTTCGTCTGCTTCCTGAACTGAGCAGTGGGCTCGTGGTTCATCACTATGCTTTATAACCGACGAACGTGTTACACGCATTCCTTTGTGTATATCAAATTACATCTTAAATTAAGAAAAATATCACCCTGGTGCCTGGCAGTCCAACTCTTCTTACCTGCCATCGCCAGGAGCTGCATCAGATGGGGACAAGCATCCTGGAGGCGTGGGAGCGGTGTCCCGTGCCGGCCCCGGAGGGCCGCCTTGTGTGCTGACGACGAGCATGAAAACGAGCGGGGCGGCCCGCCCGGGGCGGCCGTGGGTGTCCACCTGGCAGCCCGATGCTCCGCCAGGCCGCCGCCGCTATTCCTGCGGCTGGGCTCCTCCTCACGCGCATTCTTGTGTCACCTGAGAGAGGTGCCCACCAATTGGCTAGACGCACAGTGGCCTGAACTGGCCCCTCACGGGGGTGGAATGGCGTGTATAAAATGGGATTCTTCCCTGAACGGAGCCCCAAGCTGTCTCATCGAGCTATTAAAACAGACACTCCCTGAGAGAGCATGTGAGGCCGACGGGTCCCTGTGAAACCCAGGCTGGCTTTCCCAGGTGGCTGTGCCACCACCCCCAGGCCTGTTCACCTGCAGTCCGCTCTCTCTGCTCACTTCCTCCGGTGCCACGCCCCTGCCTTCCTCACGAAAGGGAAGCTCAGTGACCCAGGAGTAATGAGAACAAACCCATTCCACTGAGGACGCGTTCATTTTTATCTTCATTAACTCTTTGGTCCTTGTCAAGTGCGCTGAAAGCAGATTTGTTTTAGCCGCTGGGTCTAGAGGATCTTATAATTTAGACAATTTCTACGCTGAACTGAGGCAGAAAATATTTCATGTTCTGTACACAGACACAAATTGTTTTTCTATTAAAAGAGCACTGCATCATCTCATTCACTGTATTCTTTAACAGAAAGAATTTAAGAAAAGCAGCAAGTAACCCACATAAACTTCACCAATTTCCTCCCCCTGCCATGAATGAAATATCACACGTTCAACGAGACCACTTTTCCTAAGAGAAAGACACACGCACACACGACGAGCTGTTCTCCTGGGTGAAGGGTAGGGGTGCGTGGCAGCTCGTCCCAGGGGCCTGGCTCTTCACAGGAGTTTGCAGAAGGAAGATGCTGGAGCATGGGCTGTTCCCACAAGGCCCACGGCAGCGTAACTGACCAGGCAGTAAGGAGCCCTCGCACCTGAAGCACCGCCCCCCCGACACCCACCAGCACCCATCAATCCTGTCCAATTAATTTTGCTTGCTGTGGAATGCGGTGCTCCTCCAAACCCGTGTGTGGGGAGGATCCTCATGTGCGCACTTACGCGGAGCCCGCGCTGGCCCCTCTCCGGTAAGTCTCCGCGCCTGCCTAGTGACGTTCCATTCCGTTCTGTTTCCCAAACACACTTGTCTCTGGGGAATTCACGCAGACGCAGACGTTGATGGGGAGGCCACAAGGCCGGCACGGTCACGGCAAAGCAGCAGAAACAACAGACTGGGTAGTCGCCAGTGGCAAGGTCCGGGAGCACCTTTCTTAAATACGTAATGGATTTTATAAACAATTTCCCGCAGACCCTGCTTCAGTGGTAAGGGAATGTTTTCTTTCACAGGATCCAAGAGTTGAGCATGACTCTTGTATCTGGGTCAACAAACAATAGACCTGCCACAACACCACAAGCGGACTGACGGGCAGATGGCCTCACGGTGCCTTTCCTCTCCGGTTAACGCGTAGATGGGCTCTGCACATTCGTTCAAAAGCAAGGCTGCCAAGCGCAGAGTTTCAGTCTACAGTACGCCAATGAGGAGAAACGGGCCATTCACCACCAACCTGGGGTTCCGGTCCCACCCTGCGCACCCTGCAGCGCAGAGCCGTGGTTTGAATCCTGAGGCCGAGCCCTTCCGCACACCCCCGCAGATGCCAGGCGGAACCTACCAGAAGGACTGCTGATGTCCCGTTGGGTCTGTACAGGTGGATGGACATCTCAGGAAACATCCTGTCAATGCGGGTGATCACGTCGTCCACATACCTGAGTGGGAAAAGGAAACATCCGCGTGTGAACTGAGCTCTAGTCAAAGAGGCAGGAACCCGCGGTGCTCTAAACACATCTCCTTCTAAACTTTTATTAATGGAATACACTTTCAAGAAGACAAATGGACTAACAAGGCTTTTTATAAAAACACGACTCCCGTGTTCCTCCTCTGGCCTTCCAGAGCCAACCCCCTTTCAGCGATTTCTTTGGTGTTTCCACCTCCTGCAGCTTCAGTGTTGGCTCTTGCCTTTTCGCTTTAGGGCATGGCCCGGCGACTTCCTCCTACAGGAGATCAGAGTTCAGCTCGGTCACCGCGCTGGCCACTGGGCTCCGTGCAGCAACAGAGGCTCCTCTCTCTGACCCCCAGCTCCAGGGCCACGGCCGCTTCCCAGGGCTCAGCTCTGGACGCCTCACCGTCCCGTCTCGCTTCTCAGCTCAACCACCAGAACCACCCATTCTGGAATTAAACTGCTCCCGTCCTACATACCTGAAGCCACTCCTGGTTTCTAACTAATTCATGTTAAATGACACTTTGTGCTTCTGAAGCAGGTGTTCGAAGCCGGCATGCTCCGGTCTCTGAGCCACGCAGCGGATCGGGAATGCACTGATTTACCAGGGACGCACCTTTCCGCCTGCATTGCTCTCGCTGGATCCGTATTCTAGGTGCCCCCCCCACCCCGCCCTCTCCACCGGACCCTAAGCTTCTCCCACCGCAGTCATGCACACTGGGCAATCTGCCAGTTCCATTCTTCCTTGGAGCCCTTCCATCGAGGGGGAGCCCTCTGCTCCTATGGCCCAGTGGGATCCTGTACTACATCTCTTAAGGCCTAACCATCATTGCGTGCCGACTGGAGGCACTTAGCATGGGGCCTGGCGCATAGGAAGGACTCAGGCATCGCACCCCTGGTGCTCTGAGCCTCTGCAGGGGAGGCGCGCAGTGGAAAGACGCCAAGCCACAGCCTCGACAGAGCTGGGTCTGGCTCAGGACCTTGGAGAGTGAAACCACACTGGCACCTGTGCTGCCATCTAACCCACCGGCCACTGTGGGGGTGCGTAACACAGCAGCTGGGGTGCAAAGCTATCCATTAAAAATTCTGCATTGGATTTTGTATCTGTTGGATATGACAAATTAAATTGCATGTCCATTAGATGAGAGACACAGAAAAGCCATGTTCTCTTGGGGAGAGCGGGAGATCAGCTCTCCATTCACAACATGAAAAGATTTCAGTCTGAAACCTGGGGTCCTGAGAGACGGCAGACCATGTAATGCCATTTGTTTAAAAAGTGAACACAACATATCAGCTATGCAAGTCGGAGAGTAATCCTGCTGATTAGCTTAGTGGGTTTTCCTTAGAGAATGGCACGCACAGTTTTGAACTTTGAGTTGAAGGAGGAGAGGAAAATGATACAAGGCCAGTGGCAGACAAGGGATTGGCAGGAGGATGGCGAGCAGCGCCGCCTGGCGCGAGGTGGTGGCGCGCCGAGGGCCACGTGCTGCTGGGGAAGGGCACTGGGAGGAGAGTGACGCGCTTCGAGCGCGCGAACGACTTTTACAAACACAGCACCAAATGGCTGTCTGCCATCACCGGGAAGGACGGCACGACGAGCATAAGGCATTATAAAGCAAACTGGCTCAGAAAGGCCACGAGGCATTTCTTATAAGCGAGGCCCCGTTCCACTGAGTTTTGGAGGGGCTAAGAGACCGTGACTAAGAAACCACACCTCGCGTCCCAGTCGCCTTCCAGATTCACAGCTGCATGATATACACAACCGTGGCTCGAGGCTTAAATGCTCCAAAAGGTGCAAAGATGAAGAAAGGAGGAGATGAACTAATTTTTCATCACTGTCTGATATTTCTCGACATGGCAGAAGACACATGGCACACTTCATGCCCAAAGTTGTCACTGGAAACATTTACACGCTTCTCTTCTAAATCTATGTGCGTAGCTTTACCACAGTTACTTCGGACTCAGCAGGAAGTGAGAATCTGCTGTCCTGTGAGAGTGGAGGTCACTGCTAAGTGTATGCTAATGGGAGGGGTAGGCACCAGCTTCTGTACCAATCCTCGATCAATAGCCATCCTAGCTCTAGACAGCAGAATGCAAATGAACACCCAGAACTTCAGTACAAAGGCCACCTCATCACTTGCTCTCCCTGTGCCCTTCACCTTGAAGGTTTCAAAGTACTTTCTGGAAAACTTGTCTTCTCAGTAGGCTAGGAAACAGGGAATGAGTAGGTTAAGCGATGAGTCCAGAAACCAGGCTCAGGGTGCAGCTTTCTAGGATGTCTTTAGGAAGAGCCAGTGTTCTTCATGGGCAGACAGCGCATGTTCCTTGCCATTTGGATTCCTTTTTTTTTTCTTCCCCTTTTTTAATCAGTTCTTTACTTGTAAAAGAAGACAGTGGCAGGAGAAGAGAGTTCCTCGGAAAAATACCTGCTGTCAACATAAGAAAATGGAGAGGTCTGGGGTGGTACTCTTCCTTCCCAACCAGTGATCTCAGGAAAAGCTCAGTGAACTTAATCCAAAGATGCTATTAAGCAGAAATAAATTTCAAGGAGACTGTTTTTCATTCACATGCCTAAATTGAAGGAGCTGCAAATTTCTTTTTCACAGGTGACATTATGTGTTTGCCAGAAAGAAAAAGACAGAAAGTCAGCTGTGCTTTAACTGAGGAAACAACGTCTAAAGCCTAGCAGCAAAAATCAAAACATTCCATTTTCAAGTAGACCCAGCTTTCAAGATGCAAACCCAGCCCTCTGATTTGACAGGAGAGCAGAGCTGGGGACGAAGGACACCGTCCTTCTGCGGAGGGGGCTGGGATGGGGCGGCTGGTCCCCAGCGCCCTCTAGGGCAGGGCTGCCCCGGTGCTGCCCCCAGGCCGGCGCGAGGCTGAGGACAGAGGGGACGGCGCGCTCTCCGCCCGCCCGCCCGCCGCCCGCCGCGTGCGCCGTCCGCTGTGTGGCAGGATCAAATTAATTTTTACCTTTGGAAACCAGGCAAACAAGCAGTAACGCAGCAGTGGTGACTCGTTTACACTTGAGCAGATGCAACGTGGAAAGATTAATTTAGTGCCAAATTGAGCAGTGAGTCACAATTTGCACATATCTGTCAACCTGTTAACAGGGTAATAACGTGGAGAGATTGCTGCTCCTACTCACGTTCCCGAAGCCTGTCGAAGGGGGAGCCGCTGCGTTCTCTGACGGCGGCTCGACGTCCCAGGACCGGCCAGAAATGCAAACCCCTAGAAATCGCAGGTCCCCGTCAGGGTGTGACTCGTCGCTGAGTGTCTTCAGGCAGAAAAGTCACTTCCAAGCAATTAAAGTGCCCTGCCTCCCTAGCCTGCTCCCCACTTACAGTCCCACTCCCACGGGTCTCCGACCCATTTTTCCCCAATTCAACTGACTCTTCTTGAAGTTTCTGAAGGCTTCCTTAGGGCTCAGCTTCGGAACCAAGTTCTTCACCAGCATTGCCGCGTCAGAAACAGGCCAGGCATCCTCAGATTCCAACACTGATTTCTGAAGCCCTTAAACCTCGTTCTCTTCTGATTTTCCCCATGTAGCTTGGCCTGCTCCTTTAAATGTCCTTAACCAGAGAATTAAAGAGCACTGGGGCCTCAGAGGCCCCTCCTCCGATGCCCCCTCCATCTAGGACCTCCCCAGGGGGTCTGCTAAGCACCTCTGGGACCCCTCTCCAAGGCAACCAGCACTGCTCGACCACCACCCATTGGCCCACACGGGTCTCGGGGAACGACAGTCAGTACTTCCGCCAACGGCTCTCTGCAAACGTGGGGAAGGCTCCAGGGCTCTTCTCCCCACCAAGGCCTAGGATGTGCTTCCACGGCCTCAGAGGGCACGGCCCCCACAGCCGCACGCACCCAGACTTACAGACGCCCCTTGCCTTCTGCGTCACTGCGTCAGGCCCAGCTCCGCGTCCGCACGGGCACAGGGAGGTGCCGCCTGCTGCGCTGCTCCCAGTGGCCAGCCCCTCCTTCCTGGGACACCCCCGCACCGCCCCGTGCCGCCCAGCACTCAGTGCATACTCCGCACTCTGCGCCGGGAGACGCCCCGCACGCCCACGCCCAGTCCGCGTCCCGGTCAGTCCTGCCCAGGGAAGCCTCGCGGCCCCCACCGGTCAGCGCGCCTCTTCTCGCCCCTCACGGCGCTTTTTGATTCTTTTCTGTGTCTCCTGCCCTGGTTGTAATTAAGCAGTTTTTCCAGTGGTTATTTGTTTAGCGCCCACCTTCCCAACAGCACCCTCCGGCTCGCAGGACGGCCTCCCTCGCTGCTGGATCCCAGCCCCGCGCCACGGGGCCCGGCACCCGCTCTGCACGCCACCAGTGTTTGCTGAGCTGAGCAGACAGGACATTAACAGTCAGCCATGTTGGATCCAGGTTAGGCAGTTATGAAACAACTAAAACGCAAAGTTCTCTTCAGCAGATTTTAGCAGATTTGAGGTGTCAGGAGAGTCCATTGCATTAGCCATCAGAGGTCACCAATAACAGCAGCCGGAGAGTCCCACACAACAAACCTCAAAGAAAGCAGAGGAGCGTCTTCAAAGTCTCACAGCCTAATGCGCGGCCGCACAATCCCTCTGTCTGTTCTGGCGGAGGCTCAACGCCCTTCAGAAGCCAGAGTCATCTAAGGAAGGGCACTGTGCTGTGGACACGCCCGTTCTAAAATGCTGCTTCTAATAAACTAATTAATTCTGCAAAACAATAGAACAAAGATGTGTGCTATCAAATTGTATTTACAACACCAAAATGATAACAAAACAGACTGTGGAAGACATTTCTAAAGTACTGGTTTCACAAAACATTAATTTTCTACTCTACACATTAAAACAATTGTAAACTATTTGTTAGTAAAGCCTTAAAAGAATCTGCTGGACAGATGGCTCAGTTCTCTAGAGTCTGACCCTTCCTCAAGAGGAAAAAACACCAACCAATCTGGCCTCCAGCCAGTGCTGCGCGTCGGGGGGGTGCTCAGCGGCGCGCGCC